CCTAGAGAACTCCTTGCTATATATACTTGAATAAAAATCCCAGCTCCCAAGAGGGTAGACGTTAAAAAAAAAAAAAATAATAAAATAATAATAATTACTTTAAAAAATATTTATTTATTTTTGTAAATATTGCTAATTCAAATATATAAAATGTTTCAAGATATCATATAATAATTGTTTCAATATCACCTAATTTCAATAACTTGTTGCAAAAACTAAAATTTAAAAATCTTTTTAGTAAATATAATATAATAATTTTATACAAGAATAAATATAATATATTTAGAATCTAAAAGGTTTGTAGAATAAAAAATAAATTCAAATTATTTGTTAATTAAATTGTTAATATGTAAATTAAAATCTGAATTTAGATTTTAAGTATTAATTGATTTCTGAAGCTTTTACTATGTATTATATATATAAAAGCAAAAGTAAATTAGATTTAAATAAAAATATAAGCTTAATTAAATAGCTTTAAAAATCTACCAATAAATCTATATTTTTTTAAAATAAATTTTCTAGAATTTATTTATAAAAAAGATGATCTTAACACCCACCAGAGGTGAAATTCACCATGTCATGTATTTTATTAAATATACATATATATAACAATAATATATACTGTATAACATAATAAATTATTTATATATATATAAAAATATACAGTATATTATATATATATTTCAATTTTTATAAACACAAGTTGTTAGCTATATAGTAAACTCTATATAGTAGTACATGTTGATCTTGCTGTTATCATTATCTGCATCTAATTCGAAAATATTACAACATATACTTATATAAAAATTAAATTGATACCCAAATAAATACCACCAAGTAAGAACATGAAATTTATATTGATAATAAAGATATATATGATATAATCATACGGTAATAATAAGAAAAGGTTTTGATGGCAGGTCTATTCAATTAAAATTTATATCGTAACCTAGTAAGCTATATAAAATTATATTCGTATTATACTAACAGTAATACGAATATAGTGCAATTATATATAGTAGTAGCTTGCAAAGTTACTATAAGTTTGAATTTTAAGTAATTAAATAAGCCCGGGTTTACTGATATCTATTGAGCTCTCTAACTAATATTAAAAATCAGTATGTAAAATTAGACAAACCCTACTTCTAAATCGAACTATTAGGCCAATTGTTTATGAAAAATGGTTTATTGTTGAAACAAATTCTTCAGATACCAGTAAATATCCAAACTTGCAATTACTATCACTATGTTTTCACTTGATAATACTTAAATCAGGATGTTGTAGAAATTATACTAAACAAATGAATTGTCAAATTACTAATGATATATATATCTGAATTTATAGCTATTCTAAGTATAAAACATTAAAGTACAATGATATCTGCTACCTAACATATAATTAATTTTTTTTAGTATTTGGACATTTCTTTTGATAATGACTAGGTGTTCTGCACAATAAGCATTTACATTGTGGTCTCAAACTTGTCTCTACAGTACAATTTTCTTGTATATTGTTGACTTGGCTCGTGATTTCTTGTACTGTGGTTTTCCCTTTTAACATTTCTATAGTGCTTCATATTCTTTTTTTACTGGAAGCACCTCGAATTTTAGTGACATGTAGATCATTTGTCTGATCAATTAAATATTTCTGTAAAGTGTTAATACTATCTTTGTTCTGGATTTCACTACTTTCTATTTCTTTTGAATTATTATCGTTACTAATGCTTTATTTAGCCAGAATAAAATCCTTTAATAATTGAACTAACTTATTATCACTTTTAGTTTCCAAAGCAATATTAATTGCAGTTTTAGCTGTTGAGAATGCAACCCCGAATCTATTTCTTTGAGAAGCAATTTGCTGGACACTTGCTTGATAATTAGTACTTTGAAAGTTTCTTGAACTTTGAAGAGCTAAATTAATTTCATTTGTAGTATCAGCCGATGACTCTATTGCTGTGAGAGATGGTGAATTCTCAAGAGCTTGATTTAATTTTGAAAAAATATCATCTTTATACTATCTGATTAGTATAATACTAATATGAAACCTTGCAGCATTCGAATAAAGTATAACCTGCCAAAAATGGTGACAAATAATTTCTTTCATATATGTTTTCAAGCAAGTGCATAGATGATTTCTATCATTAAAAAAAACCACTATATTATCTTTACTGGAAAGTCTTCCTATTCGATGAATTTTTCATATTTTATTAATATTTGATATATCATTACTACTTAAAATAGTTTTTAAAATTGTTTGTGGTTCGTCGACTATATCCTCAATAAAATTATTGTTTATAGTATCAATATATAAATCCTGTAATAAAATAAAAAATAAGTATTCTATTCACCCATACTATATCACTTTAATTTAACCAAGAAACATACTTCAGGTATCAAGCTTTTTCTTTGTCTTTTATAAGTAAAGAATTGTGAAATTTGGAATCGTTATAAAGATAGTATTAGTGGTGTCAAAAAATCAACAAGCACATTATCGACAGTCAAAAAAAACTAAGAAAAGATATGTGGAAGTCCAATTATTAATACTTTGCTTTAATATCTATTAATTTACAATACTGAATCTCTTCTTTATGTCTTTTGTTAATTGCTTCTTCGATTTCACAAAGTGTACTAGCATTGTTAAGAGATTTTTTAATAATACTATGAAATGATTCAACGCTTTGCGTGCTTTGAATACCAGTGTTGAATTGTAATAGAGTATAGGCTTTGGCCCAACTAATCTAATTAGGATATAATTTTTTTGTCATATAATACTCGTATGCTAGAAACATTTT